GTACCTTGCGGTAGGAGGAGTTCCTGCTCCTGTGGATTTGTTTAGCGTTAGAGACATATTGCCTGTCTATTATTTTCCAATCTTGTCTGAAACCAGAACTGCATGAACAGAACCATCTCTTACGTGACCTCAGTCCTTGTTGCACTTGGGTTATTTATCTTTTTTTTGCATGTATTATTTGTTCACAAAATTTGACTCCGATGTTCTAAAAAGAAATAATTCGCATTCTAACAACGACAATTAAATTTGTATGCCACATATAAAAAACACAGTATTGGCCTACTCCTAAACCAGTTCCTGAGCTTTATTTTTCAATTACGTTTCAGCCTTTTGAATACTGCCGCGGTTGCAGTAACACTATCAACATTTTTATGTTGCCCTGCTGATCTGTATGGATTTTTCATATAAATCCTTCTGAAGGACCCTTTTCTTTCTCTGACATAGGCGCTGAATTATCTGCTGCGATTGTTCATGTCCTACTGAGGGATCAGTCAAGGTACCTAAGTTGTCCCAGTCAAAGTGAAACATCACGCTGGCATTTTGAGTATCTGGTAAGAAGACATTGAATATGGTAGCTAACCATACTGGAAGTGTCACACAGAGATACCACATGTCTTACTCTTACTCATTACGTACTCATGTCTTACTCTTACTCATTACGTACTCATTTCTTACTCTTACTTTTCTTATTCTTACTCTTACTCAAGGTATGAAAAGCAGTGATTTCAACCAGAATGTATCTAAGTCAGGTTGTTAATCTCATTTCAGTTCTGGCTGGCGTGCTTAATGACCAGTTAGTTTTGAGGTGGCGCTGGTCTTCAGATCCAAGCGTTTCAAAGCTTAATTGCGTGTAAAATTAGATATTGGGATGTCTTCTACAGAACTGTTTGAATGTTTTTAAATCGCACTATAATTCAGTGGGGAATTATGGCTGTTCTAAATGGCAGCCTGTAGTGCCCAAGGATGATCAATAGGCCTGTTCTAGGTTCAGCGGTACCTTCATGGTTCCTATAACACACACCGTTTTGTAACGTTTGCCACCTATACGTTCCAGTGACAAAGCATAACTTGTGCATCAGCCTTTGTCTTACTTTAAAATACTATATTTACTGGCAATTGTTAGAATTCAGCACCAGACATTTTTTATATATATCAATTCCACTGAAAAGCCATTATATAAAAGTATTGCATTATCTTTGAAATCTAAAAAAATGCTGTAGAAGACATTCCTCACCCCCACCACTGCGTTGTTGAGATGCAAGTCCTTTCTCCTGAGAATGAGATATAAATACACACAGCTTAAAAATGCTTTCTCTAGGTTTGTGGATGATGTTTTTTTTTCCAGGGAAGTAATTTGCTTTTAAGTTCACAGCTGAACTCTACAAATCTGGTTTGCACACAGTATGACAACACACCATGAGACAGGCTGTCAAGATCATTTTTAGGATCGACGGGGTAGATTTCAGTGCCAAAATACCTGGTATTTTGTTGTGACAGTGAATGTATCATGTATATACAGTCAGTGGTTACTTTTTTGCCTTCAGAACCATGTCAGAGGTACAGAGTTAAACATTCAGAGAAGCCATTCTGCACAATCTTATACTGAGCTGCTATTTTTGCACTTGTGACCTTACTGATTCCATTCACTAGTCTGGTCACTCTACTCTGATCTGTCTCATTGACATGGTTTTTTCGCCCACAGAATTGCCCCTGACTGTATGCTTTTATGCTTATTGCCCCATTTTCTGTAAAGTCTAGACACTATAGGGTGTGAAAATCTCAGGAAAGTGACTGTTTCTACGATACCGACCAGTTGAGTGCTCTGTGGCTGTGACTCTTTATGCTCAGCTGGTTGATAGAAACAAAATGTTGGTCTGGATTTGTAGCTTCTGGACCAGAAATGTACAACACTGCAAATTCGTTATGTTTTGTATTATGTTTAATTGTTAAATTCGGAGACTGTTGGCTGTCTGGAAGTGCACGAGTGTTTGCATGCTGCCATTTCCGCTGTCGTGTTACCGTATCTATAACCTGTGTTTTTACCCACAGTATCAGAACCAAGTATATTGCTTTTGTCATATATTTTAAGCAACTCTCAGCAGTATTAGGCTCTGCGACCTTACAAAGTACACACTACCACCATGCAGTGGCATGCCCCTCCGCACTAATCTGTAGGTCTTACTTTTCGTCACATCAACAGCTAAAACAAACCACCTCGTCCATTATTCCGTAATCCATTGTTTAGTATTCATCTGCGGTCTGCGTAGGTTCGAAAGCGGTATGATAAATTAAACTGTCATCTCGGTATACATGCAGAATATATATTTTAATGAAAAACAAGCTTATGCCTTCGTTTTTCGGCATTTATGGCACCAGTTCAATATTGTCTACTGTCAAGCTGATGTCTAATTATTACCTCTGGTATGGCTAGTCAGCTGGCAGTCAGGAGAAGCAAGCTTCGATATTTTTCTAAGAAATATTCGTACGTACAGTTTTACCTATATTATAATTAAACATCAAGAGGCATGCAGGCAGCAAATGTAATGAAACAGCTATATAATAAGACTTAAATATTTATAGCTTTGAGAAACACTTTTTATATTCTTGTTTAATCACAAACACCTTATGGCTGCGAATGTGATTTGGACAAGCCTTGAAGGTTTTCCACTTTGCATAAATCCAAGCCTTATTTAAACATGTATGTAAGCATATATGATAATTAGACAAGCAGTTAATGGCCAGAGTTTCTGTAGTCTATTTAAGTTTTCACCGGCATCTAAGTGCAGAATTCCAGATGCCGGAAGCGGAGCGTCATTTTGCTTCGTGCAGATGAAAAATTCAAACCTGCTTCCTCTTTGACTTTGAAGAACAGTGTTGATACCCGAAGGCATTTAAAGTAAACATGAACATCGTAACACCAAAGCATTCTTGGGGGGGGAGCCGGGATAAATTAATTAGCATTGATTATCATAATGGGGAAGCTCTGCTGCAATGAAGCTACAAACTCAAATTCAGTATCGTTTTACTATTTAATCAAAATCTGACGACGACACGGATTCTGCCAGACTTGCATAATCTTGCAGTTAAGTGTTTATTTATTATTAAAATGGATTAATTCATTACACATTTAGGGATTTTTAAAAATATATTTTCACTTTTCTGTTGCAAGGGAATATTCCAAGAATTTATTCTACCTTAACTGGAAAGTGTACCACTTATTGGAAATAGTTTAGTTTGTGAAGTATGCTAATGGTTCTCCAAGAAATGGTCCATTAGCTCAATTAAGATCCTTGACAATTTGCCCAGGTAAATCTGTTGTGTATTTTATGGACATTTGTTTCTTTTTGATCCTGGAATTGCTCTGAATAAACGTCTCCCTCGCCGAGTAGTAAAAGCATGTAGAACTGCATGGCATCTCAGCCAGATCTAAATGTAGATTAATATTGACTAGTTTATATTGATAAAGCGGACTGTGGTAAATGCTTCGTTGGCCGACCTGGAATATGTATAATTAGCGCCGCTGCAGACTCTTGTGCTGGGTCCTGTTCGGTGAGGGATGCGTGTCGAATCCCAGGCAGTTTCCCAGCACTTAGCCTACTTCTCTGTGAAACTATAAGACCTTGATTAAGCAAGATCCGAACTCGGTTCCCCGTCTGCTGCCGATCGAGGCTCGTCTGGCAGCGACGTCGGCTGCATGTTCGTGTTATTGGGTCTGCAAGCGGCGGATCCTGTATGCGCAGCGTCCCCGATTCCACAAATCAAGGAACTAAACCTGGACTCAGTAGGGTGGCCTTTTTAAAAACCCCGGGAATCATTCATCCGGGCTGTCAATTCAAGCATAAAGTGTTTCAGGAACTAGAGTCGGACTGATTAAAATCGTGTCTAGCATGTGAAATTGTGGTTAACACGACAAAGATATGAACCAAACTCATAATATATAGGGTTATTGTGAAGTACATTGTATGTATGTTATTGTTCACTATTCTGTTTTGCTATGTATTGTTTTCCGTCGTTTTTCCTGTAGGGAGGTATGCAAGCAAGCATTTCATTGTAGAATTATTATACAAATGGCACCGCTTTTGAATTCTTGAAATATGGTTTTCAGTATCTTCATCCAATCTGTACATGCATAAATATAATTTTTGAATAACGAAATGAATGTACCTCTGCAAATTGGACAAAAACATCATAGCAAGTGTATTTAATAAAGATTTGGATCTTATGTCTACAAATCCCTCAAAATGCAAAGCTTTCCATTTTGAATGTCTGGCTATTTAAAATTCATGAATAACGTACGTAAACATTACATTCTCGCTGTATCTTGAGGGACTAAGAGTATACATTTTTCGTTTAATTCTGCTTGAAACGGCTTGACATTTCATAGTTCAAAATAAGATATTGAAATCATTGATGCGGATAAGCGGCACGCGAAGAGACTTGAGCAGCTCGGTGTGGTTCAGCACACGCCAAGTTAAATGGCAAACATAAAAAAGATGTTGAACGGTCGGAATCTCAGCGATTACCACATTAATCCTGCGGAGCTTCACGGCAGATCTGCACAGGATGTGTCTGAATGTCAGAAACACTTAGGTCCCTATAGTTTTTGCGAAAAGCGAAGTTTTCCAAATGCATCTCTGCAAAATTAATCATGGGTTTAATGTCATGTACATGCAATGAAATTCGCACTTGCATTCTGTGGCTCATAGTGAGCGTGGTTAAGCCTCTGTGTCTGTGATCTGATGGTCGCCATTGGCTTCCGCATAACAGTCACATGTCTGTGCGCCATTGAGTAAGACCCCTTAACTCCCCCCCCCCCAGCTCCAAGTGCGCTGCTGCAGATGGCTGCCCTTCGCTGCCAAGGTTGCTCTCACCCATATGTGTGTTATGGAGACCAAGACGGGGTAGGCGAAAAGAGAACTTCCCCACAGTCATCAATAAAGTGTCCTTATTGTTATGAAATACTTTTAATTTAATAGATTCTTTTATCCAGGGCAACATATGTTTGAGAGACCAGGGTCAGTCCACAGAGCACTATGGGGGTTAAGCCTCTTGCCTAAGGGTCCGACAGCGACATTACTCTGCCGACCATAGGATTTGTACGGGCGATCTTCCGATCTCAGGTACAGGGTCCGAATCCAGTGAGCTGCACACTGCTGCTGTCAATGAATAAATAACTGGGAATTAATACCACTGTAGACAAACACTGGAAACCACAGGTGTGGAAGTCCGATCAGTTTGCAATAAGCTATTGCAGAGGAATCAATCTGAGGATAAACTCTCCATGATTTTTTTCAGTTTTGGGAGAGAATCCGTTGGTCAGCCAGTCCTTCTGGTCTTTGCTGGACGATGGTTTGTGTGATTGAGCAAAGAAAAGATGATTCTCATCATCAGTGATGCATCTGATTTAGTTGGTGAGTGAACTGATCTGGTGCATATCCTGCTGTAAAATGGAGGAGTTAAAAAAAAAAAAAATATATATATATATAAATATATAAATATATATATATATATATGCATACGTACATACAGATATATATTTCATTCTTTTTGAAGGTCACTTCATGTCATCCTCCAGTTTGTGAGGGACTGTTGGATAAGTTGACGGTTGTCTTTGTAATTAGAAAGTGGCTTAATTCTGTCCTTTACCTCCCTGGTTTTTGATTGTTCCCAGTGTCTCCTGCTTCATCCTATTCTTGTGTCCTGTGGTCTTAGAAGCTGTGAGCCTGGAAGCAGCCTGCCTTCCAATGTAGCCTCTGCCAACAGAACCAGGATTAAACCAAGATTTAACAATGCAGATATGGGGTGGTCCCTTAATTTTTTTTCCACAGCTGTGTGTGTATATGTGTATATGTATGCATATAATTAGCATGTGTATGTATAATTATGCCTGCCAAAGTCTGTTAGCTTAGCCATTTCAAAACCTCTGCTAAAATCACCCCAGTATTCCCAGCAACCATGCAATACAGCCATGTGTTTTTTGACTTGATCACTAGCACACCTGATAGAGCTAATCAATATCTCAACAACTTTTTTTATTTACTTATTTGAATTGCATTAATTAAGTGAACTGGAGGTGAAATTATAACAAACACACGGAATGGCTGAGTGGCCCCTGAGGAGAGGATTGGGGACCAAAGCGGGGCATGTAGCCACCCAAGAAGATATCGGTAACTTTTTGGAGAACAGAAGAAAACTTTTATTGTGTTACTCTTAATATGTTCTAGTGCTAAATTGTTTTTGTTCAAGCCAAAGTGAACTAACTACCCAGATGAATAGCTTTAAACATTTCTTTTGACTGCCCAAGACGTTTGCACAGTTTGCATAGTATATATATGCACACACGCATAAATATAATATTTTACCATGCTGGGGGAGGGGGGGGGCATGGAGTAATAAATATTATATATATTTATGTGTGTATAATTATTTTTATATAAGTAATTTATATCTGAAAGTAAACAACATTATCATACACTTTTTTATTTCTTTTGCATTTTTAAACCCACCAGTTTCAAATTACCATCAGTCGCAGTAGTATGCCTTGTGATAAACCAGCCAGTAAAATGGCTTCTACCAAGCGAATAAAAATACAATTTGATTGAGTAATTGATTTATAGGCCAGACATAGCTGACAACAGAGGTGATTATAGGGACGCTGGGGGCCCTCAGCAAAAAACTCCATGCCCCCCCCCTCCCCCAGCATGGTAAAATTTATGACGTTTATTTTACTGTGAAGTGTAAATTAATATCAAGAAAGTTAGTAAACATAATTCCTTTATTTTCTCTTTACTGTGAAAAACAGAATACACAAGTAAAGCAGATTTGTCGCTGCGATGTACTATGTAATCGGCCCAGCCGGGGGTCACAGGCTGCCTCGCCTCGCCTGTCCCTGCGCCTCTGGCTGACAGTTGACTCAGGTTACGTCTCCCTGAATCATGTTACTAGACCCTGCCTCCCTGCCTCCAGCGGCAATGAGCTGCCAGACAACAGGAAGTCAGATTGCCGACTGCGCCACTGTTCCAGAGTCATTACCCCGGCACTGACTGGGCGCCCCACTGCTTGACAACAGTGTAGCTGAAGCGCTTAATACATAATTTAGCATGCCAATGTCTCAGACAGAGGGATGGTATAATATTTAATTGTTAATAATTCAAATAGCTGTGATGCATTTATTTTTAACAGCGCTGCTAGATGAAACACATCGTGCCTTTTTTTTTTAAATTTAATTAATTTTTTTTCCTGGTCCTGCTCACAACTTCTGAAGTGCCGGTGGCGGTTTGCCCGTGTGAAGCGCGTCATGCGCAAAGAGGTGCCGCGAGGAGAGAGGAGCAGCTGCTTCCTGCCGCGAGGGGACCCAGCCACGCCGATTCATCTGCTTCTACACCTCGGAGTAAATATTAACGTTTCGGGGGCTGCGACATATTGGCCGCGCGCTGCTTGTCGTGTCTCGTCCGTGGCCGCTTCTCCCCTGGGGTCTCTTGATGAATTACTCCCCTCCACCCCCACATCCTTGCCATGTACACCCCGTGCTATTTTCCTGCTCCCGCCTAATGGGAAACAGAGGAACCGGAGATGATCTCGGTAAGACTGCCTGGGTTAGAAGCTCATTAAAACATAATACAGCGCGGGGGTCTGCAGACATCGTCGGCTGAATCTATGACAAGGGGAACACAAACCTCAGCGAGGATACATCGATTTTTTTTTTCTTACGTTGAACAGGAGGGAGCTTCTCCTTGCAGGACCGTGTCCTGTGTGAACTCCATCCTGCATCTCCATGGGGTTGTTCCACTTTCTCTCAATAGAGACGATGGCATTTTAAGAAATGGAGCTCCACTGGAAGATGATTATTGTTTTGTGTATCTATAACACGATCATACTTAAAACAGCTGTATATATTCAAGAAATAAAACACATACGGGCTGGTTGACAAACATTTCTGAATGCCCCACCCGTCCCGCTCTCCAGTACTTAAACCCTCTTCCAAATTCACCCCCACCCCCAAACACCTACTGTGATCAGATAATTGCGATCAGATAATTCTTCAACAATTGGTAGAACTGGAAGACCTGCAACCGGACACAACTGAACATTACAATGTAATTTATTTGATTGTGACATTCATTTTCTGACAAGGCAATTGTCCATTACTGACTAATGAAAGTGTCAAGCTTTCACGCCCCTCCGTGTTCGTTTCAGGCACAAGGAGACATTCCTTGTTGTTCACTTGTCGTCGTGCTTCTTTCTCTTCCTCTGAAGTTAGCTAAACTTTTTTTGGCTCAGTTCATTTGCACGGGAAGCACAGGTACCCTTGGGAAGCCATGTGAGCCAGAGATGACTGAGGTCCACAGCTTTAGAGGTGTTAGAGGTACAAAAAAGTGTCTTTCACTTTTGTAAAATAAGGCAAAAATGGACTCTGACAGCAATGTTTACAATAATTAGTCTTTTGGATGGTATTGATTTATTTCATCGGTACGCATTGCATATAGTTTCAGTTTTGTTGTATTTTGCTATATTGGATATAAAATACAGATGCCCCTGGGATTACGATATGGTTACGTTCAGATAAATCTATTGTAAAGCAGAAATGTATTTTAATGCAGTACACCTATCTTAAACGTCATAGCCTAGCCTAGCCTACCTTAACTATACTTAGAACACTTCCATTAGCCTACATTTGGGCAAAATCAGTAACACAAAGCCTATTCATTCATAAAGTAGTGAATATCTAATGTAATTTATTGAATAATGTACTGAAAGTGAGAAGGAGAATGGAATTGGAATACTCATAGTAAAGTCAAAATATCATAACATGGACCATCAAACCCAGGGAGCGTCTGTAAAGTAATACGAGTTGTCACTTTGTGACTTGTGTTTTGCACAGTCTGGTGTTCTCCTCTCTGCCATCTTGCTGCATACATTTGTAGCTTCCCTGCATCCTGCCCCTGCCCCCCTGCGTGTTTGTTATCCTGACCATCCTGTTAATCTGTCCGGCTTTCACTCCATCTTGGTATAACCCTGCCACCCCACTGCTCAGTTTCTTTAACCCCGCCCACCTGCAGCTCCATCCCTGCTTAAAGAGGTCCCTCCTCCAATGGTAACCCTCTCTTTTATGGTTTGCCTCATATGCTCTCGTCTCAGGGGCCAGAGAAGATGTCCGGGCCGTGGGCTTGGATGAGTAATGAGCCCAAGTTGAGGTTCAAACTAAATAGAGGAGCGTCTAGATCTAAGGGACTCTGTAGTGCTTTTATTAATCTTTAATGGGTTTGAGGACGGGGTGCAGGTCATCAATATTCAGGCCGATCTGAAGAGAGCGATTTGCCTTTAGAATTCATTGTGATTAAGTCAGAATGGCCCGGAAACTGTCATACCATCTCTGCATATAGTATCAATTTGAATGCGTTGCGTATGTAATACCCTTTCAGTCATGGGCCAGGTTTGTAGAATGGTACAATGGTTCCTTTGAAAAGGTGTGGAGAAGAATTTGCTGGGAGGTGACAAGGTCACCTCCCACCTCCCAGCAACAGTGTACGACCCTTGAAGACGGTGCATAGCAACGGCAAAACATGTGGGTGACATTGTTTGGGGGTCGGTGGGGGGGGCGCTGTATATGAGACGGCGGCATCAGAGACCCCTGTAGAGGTGACTCTGTGTGGTCAGCCTCCTAGTGGAGGCCGGCCGCAAGTGCAGCAGCTGTAATTACGGCGCACCTGCAGAGGTAGCCTCTCTAAACCACCAACCACGGAGGGAGGTCCAGGGCCCAAGGTCGAGTGTGACATTTTCACTGCGTATTTTATATATATATATATATATTTTTTTTTTTGAGATGAGAATAGAGTTTCTGTCATAAACCGCAGTGATTCATGGCAGAGCACAGAGATAAAAACGTACCCTCTTCTCTGACAGGATCACTGTTAAGACCTACGAAGGATCTGGTATGCGAAACGACAATTTATTTTACGATCTTCTTGCCCGGAAATGCAATGTCTTACCTGGACCCCCCCCCCCCCCCAAAAAGGAATAATAATAACTTCCTTACCATCTAATTCCAGCTTTACGAGCACTGCATATTATTTAGAATGAATTGCTGTGTCAGCTGTGCGGCAGATTGATTCATTTTTTTTTTTTTTGCGGTTGGTATTGTGTGCTAAACATTAATGTGATATTGAGTTTTGCTGCTCCCTGCATATAGAGCGCAGCCGGTGGCTCTCTAATGGAACACCTCGTGTTACCACGCCATGGTGCCTCCTCTGCTGGGAGTCCTTCCCTCCCCAGTCCAAAGTTTCCACGTTGGTGCCGCACAGAGCCGCGAGAGCTGCAGGGAACCTTCCGTGTGCTTGGTTCCAGGTCTTGTCTGAGCAGTATGATAAAGAATGTAATGAACTGAGAATCCAAAAAATGGCCACTGACTCCTGGTATATAGTGTCATCATTTTTCATTATTATTTTTTTACGCAGACTTAATTTGGTGCTTACACAAACCACTGATGAATGTAAAGAAGAATCCAGTTATGAGGTAGCTAAAAAAAAAAACCTTTTAAAATGGGAAAAACACACCAGTGAGCCTGATGGACGGGGTGTCACTCCTCTGCATTCCAGTCGGTGTGTTCTCACTGGCTCACTGGAACGCACCCCACAAATGTCCCACTGATGAATGAGTCATGGCCGCCTCACTTCCTGTCTCATCAACTGTGTCCAAGAAACTGATGGCACTTCTCTCTCTCTCTCTTGCTTGTCCTTCCTCTTTCTGTCCGACTTTGGCTCCATCTGTCTTTGTACTGTACGTGGTGGTTGAGAGGTCCAGGA